ATTAATAAAACATGATTCTCAAGTATAGCTTAATATTTTTATTAAAAATGATTTTACATATTTCAGAGGATCAGGCCATGATTAGTGGATTTCCTTGAGCTATGAGCTGTAGAATATCAGAGACTCCTTCTTATTTTTCTTTATAACTTGAGTATCTCACACATTAAGTAATTAATAGATGTTTACTGACAAAAATCAAGCTTTGTTTTAGAATATTAAGCTTTGTTTAAGGGCAGTGATATTTAAGTTCTAAGTAAAGTTATATTGAAAATATTTTAATAATAACCAGAATCCATTTATGGATAATAAACATATTGACAGAGTAAATGTTGTCCATCATCATCACACATAACTAACTTTCAAGTAATTTGGTAAGAATTTAATTTTTTACCCATTGAACTATTCTCAAAGAAAGTTAAATAAATAGTTCTAGATATCCAGAAACTTACATTTTGGAAAAACAATTGTTAGCATGAAATATATTTATATAATAAATAAATGTAGAACCCCAGTTATGTGCAAAGCAGGACGTGATTTCAAAATCCACCAACCATGTTTCCTTCCCGTAGAAGTGTATAATATACTGGGAGGAATAAGACACTTAATCTCATTGTTAAAATGGAATCCCATTATTAACATAAAGAAAAACATAAGAAAGACAGAGGCTGATTATGATTGGTTAATAGGGAAATAGTTCATGGAAGTGATGCCTTTTGAGTTGGACTTGGAAAGGAGCTTTGTTGCAGGCCTGTCTAGAAGAGCTGGTATTTCAAGTGAAGAACATTGAGAGAAAGGATGCAGTGGCTTGACTATTTCCATGACAAAATGTAGTGAGATTTGGCCATAGAATGTAAGTAGGACATAACTTTGAAAGTTTGTTGAGAAGCAATAATAGCCTAGGCTAGGAAGATTTCTGTGGAAATGCAAAGGAAAGTTAGTGTTTACATTGCAAGAAAGATTGCAATCATAACCATTATCAACTAATCTGATGTTCTGCTTATATATACATTAAAAAATACACACATGGTTAAATAACAAGTAGATATGTGTTTTAACTTTTTGATTACTTCAATTTCACATTTTAATAACCCTTGATTTCCAGACAAAAACTTCATAACTGGCAATTGACCATCAAGTGTCAGTTTTCAAGTCTATTAGTTTCTTAATGATATACTTATACTTTCCTGGATGGGCAAAGAAAAGACATGAAACTATACTTAACAGATTTTCAAAACCTTCCACATAACTTTATTTGTGTCCTACTTCTAGAGACTAGTGCTTTTTATCAAGGAACATAGTGAATGAGACTATGAGAAAATGTACCTAAATATGGATTTCATCTTCAGTCATTTGAGTTTTAAACTTAAATGCAGTTATTTACCCGCCACTTAATTGATACCATCAACATCAAGACATAGGAAATAACCCTGTACTTTCATAAGCCATGTATCATATGTACATACACAATATTATGCTGTACATTACTTCATTTGATTTCATAACTTTTTTTCTTTGCTTTCACCAAAGCAAATCATGTTTTTATTTGGCTATGCTATTTTTCTTGTGTAACTAATGTAGTATATTCTCTTTGCCAACTCTGAATTATTGGAATATGAATTAATAACCCATGAAGAACTTATGCTAAAGATTTAACTCAACCATATTCTTTACAAAAGAGAATAGCAAAAACAATACCGTGTTGTTTTCTAAGTTTGGATGATACAATTAACCCTTCTTTTCATTAGAAGTGAAGAAGATATCATTTGAAAGAGAACACAAATGTTTTGAAAACATCCCATGGAGAGATACAGATGGAACCATAACATTTGTTGTTGAATTTTACCTTTGATAACAACCCTAAGACAAAGAAGTTATTTTTTTTCAAACACTTGTCACATAAACATTAGCAAAAGAAACTCACTTGATTAGATAATAGCTTACATGTTTTACTTAAAAATTCAGATTGTTTTGGGTCTGAAACTATAGGTTGGGACATCCAGAAAATACTGCGATAGGGTTGTTTTTCTCTCTGATAAAAGGAATAAATTGTTCAGTATGTTTTATATCTTATGGGAACTTCAGTTCTTCAGTTTTATCAAGGCCTCATATTAGTTCTCTTTTTTTTTATCGTCACCCAAGTATTTGAATTTATTGATTTTAGAGAGAGATGGAGAGAGAGAGAGAGAAAGAGAGAGATCTATGTGAGAGCAAAACATGGATAGGTTGCCTTAACCCCCAACCAGGGATCTAATCCGCAACCTTTTGGGTTATGAGACTGTACTTCAACCAATTGAGCCACCCGGTCAGGGCAGTTCTCAATTTTTAAAAGTAATTTTTCAGATAAATGATATTGAGAACAATAATCAAATATATTATTTCAACTTTTGGTTATGTAAATAATATGTAATTGAGTTCACTGATGATTGAAGAGTTTCTTAAGTACTGTGACCTCCGTATAAGCTATCAGCACTAATGTTCATATAACATTATTGATGACTAGTAGAAGTGACTACAGTGAAGAATAATATTGAAATTAAATTGTATTATATATATCTTTGAGAACTATAAATCACATCCAAGCTAATAATATGAAATAGTTCACTTAATTAATAATGCCTGTTTTAGAAAAATCAAGTACTTGTGTTTAAACTTTAGAAGGAATTAAAAATTGAACATGATATTTTAAAAATTAATCTCAGCAGTGTCCACCAACATAATCAGACCATTAAATTTTAGGATCATAGTCCTTATACAAACCAACTATTTTTCCTTAGGAAACAGATTGTGAGCTATTATCATGTTACCACTGAGTTGAAGAATTTTCTATTAGTACAGGTAATAGTGTTACTTAGTTAAGACGTTGTGGGCATGGAATAATTTCTTTTGATATTATTTGCCCTTTCAGTGCCATAGCTATCTTAGTGTGAGCATCAGAGACCCCAACATATTTATGTAAACATGCACTCTGATCTAAATGCACACACACACACACACACACACACACACACACACATACACACACCACATACACACAAGGTAAATGACAAATTCTAGAGGACAGAAGGCAAAACATACTTTTAATAAAGAACACTACTTAAACTTCTTTTGCTATTTCAGATCCAGAAAAATTCAATTATCTATACTATTTTAAAGTATTGGATAGTGCAGAAGAGCCTAGATATAAACATTTTAAGTAGTCAGTTTTCAAAAGAATTAAATGATATGTGATTAGATACCTATTAGCATAATGAAACATGGTTTAGGTAGCACAAACTGTACAAATAAAAGAATGGAATGAAAGGATGTTGGCAGTAATGGAAAATAGTGATGGATTTTACAAGATTAAACCAACTGAAATTTTAGGAAAAATTCTATTTTCTGCTTTGGATTTTATCTAAACTGACAAACAACAAATACACATTTAGATTTCTCAAATTCCTCATGTCATGTTCTCTTGGATGGAATATCTGGAAAGAATATCTGACAAATCAACCTGTCAAGCGCCATACTTTAATATTTATGAGGGGATTTGCCAGGACGGACAAACATGTGCTAATCTTTCTCCTTACATAAAAGACAGTTGGTAGAATCAACCCTTACAAAATACACTGCTTATTTACACAAGTACGTTTTGTGCAATATTTTAGCAGAAGGTGATTTAAGGATTGATGGTGAAAGGCAAAACAATGAGCTGGTGAAATTATCTATTCCCAAATCTTGACACTATTAGTTCTGGCAATATATCTCCACTATCATTGAAATCTATTTTACCCAATCGTTTTTTTAATCTTCACCTAAGGAAATGTTTATTGAGAGAGAGAGAGACAGAGACAGAGAGAGAGAGAGAGAGAGAGAGAGAGAGAGAGAGAGAGAGAGGAGAGAGGAGAGAGAGATTCCCTCGACTGGGTATTGAACCCACAACGTGCCCTGACCAGAATCGAACCTGCACCCTTTTGTTGTACCAGACAACACTTCAACCAACTGAACCATCTGGCCAGGCTACCCACTCATTAATCATTTTTGGCATCTATAAAATACCTGGTCTTAAGGGCTTAAGAATTTTCTGGATGTAACAGAAAGCACCATGATTTCCACCTCCTTGGAAATTCCCTTCCTCTACCTATACTCCTCTGAGCCAAAACAGACAACGGTTCCATAAGTTAGGCTTTGATTTTATTAAAATTGTTTTACACTAACAGTACAATAATCATGGAACTCTTGCAGATTTGTAAGGATATGAATTTTTCAAAATATATTACATGGGATCTATTACTTTTTCAGCTGATTTTTTCTCTCCTCCATTTGTCTCTGAGATAGGCCCAGATTTTCACCTTTCTGAAGAGGCTGTACCACTAAAGGAGTAAATAGCAGAAACCTGGAGTAACTCCCTTCTTTAAACATAACTCTTGCATGTGGTTCGAAAAGAGCTGAGGACTTCTTTGGAGGCAGGGGAGGAGAGAATGAAAATTACTTCAGCCACCATTTTCTATGAGCTTTTGAGGACCAAGGGCAGCCTCATCTTTGGAAAAATAATCCATCAAATGAATGTTTACCTTAGGAAAGCTAGGGTACAGGATTACTCATTCCTCAATAAAATGTGCTGAAAACTTGTGGGGGGCATTGCTAAACAGCAAAGCAGCAGCTGTCACGCAGTCAGGCTTCCATCTCTGAAAAACAACAGCTAACACTGGGGTTGTAATTTTTCTGATGTATTGCTTCAAACGTTATCAGAGAAGAGTACACTATTTCTGTTAAGCCGAGTTAAAACCTGGTGTGTCATTTTATTGACTGTCATTGTTTTTTTGAAACCTTGTTCTTGTTTCTAGATTTTTTGACTTGAGTTTAGAAATATTCCAAGCAGTTCAGTCTAGCAAATTTAATATTGTTAATTTAATCAAGTAACTTCTAGGTATATGCAGGAACATATTGCATGAGACAGTAATGTAATTTGTGAGAAATGTCTACACACAAGCTTTCATATACCTTTATTCTGTCTTTAGAATTTGGAATGATGGGAGATCATACAATTAAAAGTCAGCGACCTCGATCTGTTCATGAGAAAAGGGTCCCTCAGGAACAAGCTGATGCTGCTAAATTTATGGCACAAACTGGTAATACGTTAGTTACATTTTTCTATTTATTGTTGTTAATTTAATGGAACCACTGCATGTTTCATAATCTTTTGCTGCACATTTGTCAGTTTTTGGAGCTGATATTTTTTTTGATCCCATTTTTCTTTTTCTTTTTTGTCACCAGTTAAAGTCCATAAATGAAGTAGCTGTGAATTGAAAAGTGCAAAACTAAAATGTGTTAAGGTTTATTTTGCTTTCATTATGGGACATTTAGGATTTACATATTATTATTTACTATGTGATTTAACTACTTTAAGTTAATCATTAAACTTTTAAAGGAAGTCAGCGTTATTTTATAAATGATTGATAATGATAGGACTTCAGAGTCAAAATTATAAATAGGACTTTAGATGATAAAATTTAAATTAACAATATTTAATATATTGAATATTTTTCAAATGTCATACATCACATAAATATTAACTGATTGTTAAAATGTATAGAAGTGTTAGAAACAGTTCTTTTTATAATTTGGTACTTTTGATTTGAAAAGTGGTTTCTTATATAATCTAAGTAATAAAAAGTTGACTGTTTTTTTAAGCTGTAATACAAATAATTAAATATCAAAAATTACTTTATAGCTTATAAAATTTAATTATAAATTAATTAGATTACTTTAAAATACCTCCCTCCAAATATATATATTAACAAATAAATACATTCATATTTTGGCTCATCATAATAAATGGGCTATAATTTCATTTGGATACATTGCATGTGTACATTCTTGGATGAAACATGTTTAAATTGTGTTACAAACATTTTCAGGTGTCAATTTTATTTTGGGAAATTACAAACTAACAATTTTAACTATGTCTTTATGAAGTTTAATGCATTTTGATCTAATAATCTGTTTAACATTAATATAGAAGTTTCTAGTATATGACCAGCCTTTTGACATGACATTCAGAATGATTTTTATGGAATTCCCTTGAAGAATGTATATTTTCTTTAGATCATACGTTCTTAGAATAACATTAATTTGGAACAATAGATTTGAATCTTCAACTTAAAACTGTAAATTTTAATAAAATGTGCTCTTGGTAATGGGTGAGCGATAGATTTTAAAACATTAGTTGCAAGTAGATCAAAGAATTCTCAGAATAGGAGGATGTTTAGAATAAATTGTACAATAAGGACATATTTTAGCATATGTATATATATATGTTGCAGCCAAATCCAGAAATGAAGAAAACTTGCTTATCTGAATTGCTTTTGGTGCACCTTCTTATTTTTAAATAAAAGTGATTTATATCACTGTATATTACCAGATTCAAGGAAATTTTTAAATTTCTAAATGTATTTTTTCTGCTTTACAGAAAGCAAAATGTCTCAACCACTAAACAGAAATTAGGGCACTTTTTAGGGCGTGGGCTGACTAATCAGCAGCCTCCTTCAGGTGCCATCTATGGGGACAATAGTAAGGATGTCCTTACTTTTCGCAAAATAGGTGGCAGGCATTGTTTTACTGAAAAAGACTTAAAATTGGGGTCAATTGGGAGTGAAATGATAAGCTGTAATTTTACGTTTCCAATAATGTGGTAACATTCATTTATGCTTAACATTATGTAATTTTGCCAGGAGTTTTACCTAAATTCAGTTTTGAGATTTGCCTGCAATATATACCAAGAAGAATCAGTTTTCATCCAAAATCTTAATTGCTAATTCAAATCATTTGGAATATTATGTTTCCTTACTAAGAAATTACTCATTCATTTTCCAGGAATTGTTCTGTATCTAATATGTGGTATTACATCTCTTGGTGAAATAGTTGAAACACTTATTATATAGATCTATGAGGAGCTTTAAAACCATATCCCCATCATGTTAACAATAATTCAGAAAAAGCAATGAACTTCAAAATTATGGTTTGAAAATATTTTTGGGGAGTTCAAATGGATGAATAATAAATTTTTATTATTTCACTTTTACCAAAGATAGTATAGGCAAATATAAATAAATGCATGCATGCTACTTGTTTTAAATGTAAAGTACTCTGATATTGATAATAGACTGGAAAACTATATTATATAAATAGGTTTTTTTTAAAAAAACTCTGACACTAGAAAATTATAACGATAAAAAGATAGGAGATTTTTCTTAAATGCTTTCTGACATTATACTTTATTTAGTTGTTAAGTTAGTCAGTCTGAATAAATACAGCTAAGTGTCCATGAAAATTGTTTTACTTATAAAATTTTTCTCTTTGTCTTTCAAACCAAGAAATTGGTGTTATATATAAACAATGATAGTGCTAACATTAATTTGAGAACAAAGAATAATGCAATACAGGTAAAGTCTAATAACAAAAACTAATTTTCATATTGGTCAAAAAATAAAAAGAAACCCAAAAACTTTCAAGCTTTATAATTTAAGAATTACTTCTCAAAATTAGTAACCTGGTCTCTACAATCAGAATGACCAGTAACCTACATTTAAAAAACAAACTTTCCATAAAGTAATCAAGTGAGTGGAATTTTTTTTAAGAGTAACATTTGATAAAGTAGGATTATTTTATCAAAATAACTCCAGTAATTGTTATAGCTAGCTTGAATGAAAATGGGCAGTGCTCCAATAGCGTTGTACACAATTTGTATTTATAGTCAAGGAAAATAAAATGAAGTAATCAGATATACACATTTAATAAAGATATAAGTTAAATGCCAATAAGATGGCTTAGGAAAACTTGTTTAGAAAAATAGTCTTTTAGCCTACATAAGTAATACAAAGCGTGTTATCTAAAACAGAAAAATAAAAGTATGTTTTTCTAATTTCATGATTTTAACATACTAGCACAACTGTATATTAATATTTTGTTGATAATTTAAATGCCCTGTCATACATAATCTCACTAAATCCTCACAAATACATTCTGAGGTAGATGTATTACTTATTTTATTGAGAGATTCTGAGGAATAGAGTGACTTTCTTAAGCACAGAGCTAATAATTCAGTAGCTTCCCATCAAACATAGGTCTTTTGACTTTAATTGTAGTGCTTTTCCAGTTTCCTTTTATGTTTTGTGCCAGGATAAAGAGCCTCCATAGTGCCTTAGATACAGAAGCCTTCTTCATGATATTTAATGTGCCTTCTCAGTTGCAAGTTAAGTAACTAGAATAGTTTGTGCTATCTCCAAAGACACATATATTAAAAATTGAATATATTATTATTAACTTTCTTAATATCAGTGAGTATTTAAAAAGCACAAACATCTTTTTTATAAAACATATTAGCTATTCCTCACAATGACCCAAAGTGTTTGACTAGAATAGTCTTCACACCTTTTGGAATGAGGAAGGGGCAGCTTAAAAATTGTAACTATTCAGTGGAAAGGTCATTTGAAACTAAAGCATTTGAGGGATGGCCCTCCTTTGGGTAGGTAAGCCAGTGCTTGAGTGGCAAAATTTGATTCATAATTTGAAAACCAATATATATTGCACTTATTTATTTTGTTTTTGATCAACAAAATAAACCATTAGTTTGGAGAGAGTGGAGAAGGCCAATTCTGAGCACTAATGATTAATCTCTCATGATCCAGGCATCTCTGGTTAGCCTGTTCAGCATCATTATGGTATCATACATTAGGAAGCAACCCAGATTTGTACATAAATGCATTTAAGAGTAGATTTTGATCCTGATTCATTGCTCAGTTAGATTAATTAATTTTTCCTCTGCCATCATAGCAATGCAAGGACAAGAGAAGGACTGCTCTTATGGAAAATAAACATAACCTATTTTATTTATAACTTTTATTATTTTCTTATTATAGAACTCACAGTTTTCAAGGTTTTCTGGCTTTAAAATAACCAACAAACCATAATATTTCTACTTAATTTAATCTCATTACAAATACAGATTGAAATATCAAATGAAAAAAATTCCATTACATTTTGCCTAACTTTAACCTTAAATTTTCATTGCTAAATAAATATGTGCATATATACATATATGTGTGGATATTTTTAACCATTGTCACATTATTTGGTTTATAGACTAATGATTTTTAGTCTTGATAGAGTATTCTTTAACGTAAAAGAACAAATTATGAGGCAGGGCTTTAAATATTATTCAAATGGTCTCCCAATAACATTTCATGAATTAGTTATGTATAAATTGGTGAAGGCAAAAACACTGAAATAATCAAGGGTGATCCTTGTAGAACTTCTAGGACAAACATGATCCCAACACTAAAAAGAGGCCCGCTTTGATGTAATTTGTCATCTCAGTTACCTCTTGCTCTCCCTTTATGATATATTTTCAGTGATAAATGCATTGTAACCTATACCTCTGGGTAAATAATGCAGACCGATATAAAAGCAAATGCTTCTTAACCGTGTTCTCCAAAGTGTAGTCTGCGGACTCATGCTTGTTTGTGAACTAGTTGTTATGGGCCCTCCAGGAAAAAAAGAAGCTTATTCCAGAATGTAGCTTCAACTGCTTTAGCAAGCACATGTTTTATTTCCGCTGGTATTTATTTATTTGAAAGAAGAAATTGTTAGTGAAGAAATCAGAAAATTGAGTTATATTCTGGTTCAAGCCCTTTCTCTCCTGGAGTAGCTGTCTGGGGGACTGGCTGCCTTGAGTAGCACTGCAAGTAATTTCTAAGTCATTTACCAACCTTTCAAAACACATGGACAAATGGATTATCGTATTCTATTTATTATTTGAGTTCTACTCCAAAGACAAATTTTAAACAGAATGGGTAAAATATAAATTGCTTCTTGATTTATATAGTCAATACTTTTCAGAAACACTTCTCCTGAAAATGTTTTCAACAACAAATGGTTAATCTAAATGGTTCCTGCCAGTAAATGACCCAATTTTGTAATTTGGGAAAAGCAACTACAAGTTTTCAAATAAGTGAAAAATCTATCCTGAACATAATGCCAGAATAGAAACAGAAGCACACTGCTATGGTCTTCGAAACTATTGACTTTAAGTCATTTTGGGACATGACTTTTGATAATAGAATTTAGATAT